AAGAAATGTTTCATCTGTGTAACATCGTATGGTTTTGGACAATCGAGAATGGCTCTGGTGTTCTGTACATTAGGCTTAATACCCGAGGTATGAGGTGCACAGTAAACGCGACCTCCTTTACGGCGAATTGACAGTTGCTGGTATTCAGGCGGAGATTTAGTTCATTCAGTCTATGTAGCACGTTATTAATGTTTTCCAGATGTTCGGTGGGGCTACTACTAAAGACACAAATATCATCCATTTCACAAGATATCCTTTGAGATCTAATAGTGATAAAAATTCCCTTCAAGTTGCTGGGGCCCTACTAAGGCCTATTGGTAGCAGTTTACATTGAGACAAACCATCGTGCATGAGGAAGGCGGTCAAACGTCGCAATCTGGAGTTAGTGACATGTAATATTAGTGACATGTAATAGTATGCACTACGAATATCCGGTGTTGAGAAAACTTTATCATTTCAGAACCTAACCATCAACTTGTCGAGAGAAGGCAAAGGGAATTTGTCTGTAAGTATATGTCGATTAAGGGCTCGAGCCTCGATGCATACATGAATAGAGTCCTTTTTGTTTTGAACGCCAAATAGTGAATGAACACATTCCGAACAGTGTATGGATGCTAGCAAGTCTTCAGTGACCATATTTTTTCCAATCTTGTAACAAAGCCTCTCGCTTGGCCAGAGCTACATGCGTAGGTTCTGAAGTGCTTAACGGTTTGTAATGCCTGCTCAACCGAGTCCGTTGCATTGATTTTGGGACCTTACCAATATCCGGAAGGAAGAGATTTTGATAACTGGACAGTAACGAATTAAGGTTGATGCTGGCAATAGTTCTCCGGCTGACGCATGATGCTACATTCAGTATGACTATGGCGTTACGTCCCAATAGAAGCTTAGTATCACTTTTGGAAAAGTAAACTGCAACTGTACCCTTTCCGCTGTTTATAAGCAAGATTGAAACACTAACAAAACCTAGTAGGTGCATTTCACCATTTGTGGAGCTGCTGAAACTGTAAGTGGATGGATGTACAGTAAGCTGACCAAAATGCTGTCTGTAAAAGGAATATGGCACAACTGTGTTTGGTGAGGCGGAATCTAGTTCCATGTCTAGACTAATGGTTTTGTTTCTAATTTCAAAAAAACACGAGGAATATCCGGCGACGGCAGTTTGGGTTGTTGAGTTGGAGACGCATTTAGTAACGACATATATGGATTGTTCAGTGGTGACTGGAGGAGCTGTAGAGTCATTTGAAGAATCTACAAAACAAATGGCACTGGAACGACAAACTCGAGCAACCTGACCGCTCTTACAACAATTCCGGCAGCTTGCACTCATTGCAAGACTGTTAAAGCAGAGGTAAGAATACTCCACCGCTCCCCGTTGCTTTGTGAGTTTTGCCCCACTCACTCCTACTCACCCTACCCTCTCTTCCGCTTCCTCGCATATGTTCACTTTTGCCTCGCACTTGTGATTAGCTTGTATGGACACTGAATCTTACGCTTATTAGCTTTTATGTTACTTTGTATATTTCATTCGTTCGTGTGGGAACTTATCGGCCTCCGGCTTTTTGAACTGACCAGCCCTGACGGATCGAATGCCAGCCTTTCCACGTAACCTGTGATATGCCCCATTTGGATATTGTGATTGAGTTGCACAGACAGACGCTTGGTGGCCGGTTTGGCTTGCTGCGTGAACATTGTTTGTTGCGCCGTCCTTGGTGTGCTCACTACCGTCAGTGGGTGGAAGTAGTCGTGGGGCTCCGACACAACAAGGACAAGACTTATCATTTGTACGGTTTTCAGCATTTCCAAAACGGTAACACTTATTTCTAACTGAGGATCGTGTCAGAGAGCCTGTAGAATCCAAATGGTCAATTTTAGCAGCTCATGTATTAGAGAGGACTCTAGCCAACAGTATGCAAGAGCTGACTACACAGTCAGCTCATGTGCACCACTAGACTCCTGACGTTGGAATCAGTAAGTGATACATAATCACTTGGATCTGTAAGTGGTCCGCATAAATCGCACTGATGAGGTCGTCTAGCCTGACGATTAAATGTTTTCAGGCAACTCAGCTAACTCGGAGAACACCCGCATACCCTCATCCTCATCACGAGCTACAAAAATTCTCACGGATTTCTAATTTTATTTTATTACGTAACTACAAATTTTGCGCGCGCCGCGTCACAGGCCCTGACCCAACTGAGTATTTCTGCGTTCTCCATTAAATGATTCTCTCTGATCCGAAAAGCCACGAGGCTAGAAATAAGTTGTTGTATTAGTAAAGTTTCTTCCACTTTTTTCTTAGGTATACTATCATAGTCAAACCTTCGAACAGAACAAGCCAGGCGGGAAATAAATGCATCCACTGATTCACGAGATGCTTGTTTTCGCTGCGAAAACTTGTACCGATAAGTATAAGTGTTCACTCGAACACCCCAATATTTATCGACTGCCGATAAGGCCTCTGCCAATGTGGGTTTCTCCCGCAACTTTAGAGCATCAAATATACGTCGACCCTCTGCACCGAGGTGCAAGCGCAAAAGCTTTAATGTATCCTCCGTTTTCAACGTCATTGATGAATTGATGGTAGCATAGATGGTAGCATAGAAATATAATCTGAAAAACTAATTTTCCAGTCTCCCAATATTCTACATTTAGGGTAGCCACAGGGTCACTTCAGAACGGTGCAGGAGCAGTAGCGTGCAAGATGTCGGTGACACGCGAGGTCAAGTTGTTGTATCCCGAAAAAGCAGCAAACCATAGCAGCACAGAAATGCACGTATGGAAATGTGTCTGCACATATACGCGTTACAAGCAAATCGATAGGCGTTTGAATTGCAATCAAGCAAATGCAAGATCACATGGCTGGGCCAACGTGTGTTAAATAAAAGTGTGATTGGTATGAGCGAATCGAGAGCAAAAGTAAAGTAAAGCGTTGGAAAACGACAGGAATCAATAAGCGTAGATGCTCTGATTCAGTGTCTGGAAAAGCACAACTTCATAACCCCGGAGTAACATTGTCTTAGGGAAATGCACTGACGTACTACCAAAATAATGATCGTGGGCAATACTTAATTGAAGTAGCTGACGGTGGAGCAGAAGCCGATGTCATCCACTTGTACTTCTCAAGAGCGTTCGATAGTTTTGATAATAGAATTCGCCTCTATAAACTTCATCACAGTGGCGTTAGTGAGCCACTTCTGCGTAAGATAAACAATTTTGACACAAGCCTCGGTTGGAGGCGAAAGTCGGTGTATCACAAAGCTCAGTGGTTGAGCCCCGTCTACTCTTGATTTTCATAAATGATCTAGCGCGAGCAACTACTTCCCATTTCCTATCCTTCGCGGATGATATACAGGTAAATCGAGCTACCGGAGGATCGGACAACACTAAAAGGCTCCCGTGCGATATTATCACGAATACGAACTGGTCAGTTTACATTATCCTAGAAATCAAAGTAGACGAGTGTCGGGTGGCGGAATTACGCCAATCAGATGCAAAGGCACATGGCTGGGCCAATGAGTGTTAACTGGAAGTATGAGTGCTATAAGCGCATCGATTTCAAAATCAAAGCTAAGTATTGGAACGCGACACGGACGACTTGCGGTGGCGGACCTGAATGAACAGCTTGCTCAAGGACATCGATTGCCTGCACCGACGAAATGCGAATACAGGCTCTGTTGTAATGGTCAAGCAGACCGCCCTAACACTCCGCTTAGATTGGCCCTGCTTCATCTTAGCCAGCAAGTGGTTACCTCAGGCGATAACATTCTTACCTAATCATGCAGTGCGTTAGTACAAAACTGAGGTCCTCATGCGTATCTCTGGCCTACAACCCTGTTCCATATACATGCCTACATTTTGCTCTATACCCACATCCCATGGCCCAGTGGCCTCAATACGGCTGACCAATGAGGCAGGCACAAAATGGTGTAAGCGCGTAAGCATGCCCCACGTACTGGAGTCTATATCACAGCAACTTGAAAGACTAGCAAATAATTTTGACTGGTGAACAAACCAACCTCATTGCGTTATTCACGAACTTGGTTGTGAGCTTGTACAATCAGTCCAAAGCACAATTTTGTGGGCGAAGCGACCAGTGAGTACCTGGAGAGGAATCGATTTGCAGGTTAAGTGGTCAAGTGGTTTCCAGATTGTAAAGAAGATAATCTCTAAGCGAACAACTGAGGCGCCCATCGTCTTTGCGGACCCAAGGCATGGCTAGCGAGCCAAACTCCTCTGCTTGGATTGCGGCGAACTGTTAGCCAAACGCGTAAAGCAGCCAATTAACACAAGGGTGGCCTTAATAAATTGGTCATAAGTTTACCCTTCTGGAGTCTTCCACGTGAGCTTTAAAGCTAGAAAGACTACTCCGTTGTTATAACTAGAATGCTCGGGACTGGTCAAAATCACCGCATTATTACATTTCTTTCTCCTAAGTGTTATATATATAAAGTTTTTTCATCATACTTGTTAAAAGATAACATGTACGACATATCTGTAACATAAAAATAATTATATTGAACTTAAGTTTTGCAACACTTAAACATACTTGTACTTGTTTATTCACAGTTGCATTTGAAACCTGTAGTATGTCCCTCAATCTGTTCACATGAGCCAGAAACTAATTTTCCACATTCATAGTACTTACCCTTTGACTTCTTGCCTGTACAGTAAACAATAAGACACCGCCGACGTTTACTTGTCTCACGACTTTCCAACTGGGCTGAGTTGTTTGGCGTTAGCCCAGTTGTCACGTACCGTGTATGATGTATGGATTCAGACAGTTCTTCCAAATGACGCATCAGATACGACCGGCGGGATAATTTTATTTCCGGCGACACTATTATAAATTATCCAGGAATTAATGCCAGCCAAATCCAGCACCTTGAGGAATAATTGGACTGGCCACTGTCGAGATAATGACTTGACAGTGAGCGCTCTTGCCCCTTAGTCGAGTGTATCTATCCATACTTCGTGGGCTTGCGACACAGGACACTCACAGGTTTCTTCGTTTCAGAGTATTGAATGGAAGATTTACAGTGCAAGGTGCTGAAAAATAAACTACTTTTATTCCTTTCACACTGATAGCATGTTAATGTGCACGTACTTTTATTCTTTATTGCGGTCCACGACGTACCATCTTTCGATATGCGAAGTTCACTGGAATTGGTTGCTAAACTCTCATCATTGTTCTCATGAGGAGTATCACTGTCAGAACTGTGACTATCCGGGATGCTGTGATCTGCCGACTTCTGAAAAATGAAACTTTCATCATCATCGTATTCATTATTGTTTCCCAGCTCGTCATAACCGATAGCTGTAAATCCTCCTAAAACCTCAAAAGCTTTTCTTCTCCTACGAGCCACTGTGTATCAGTGGCACTGAAATTTATCCGACCGAACGTACAATATCACTGGGAAAGTGGGAATCGTCTAGTTTCCACCCGTTTTGTCAGATGTTGCATGTAACTTTGTCAAAAATAATAGTGGTGGCTGAAAATGAAAAAAATAAGGGGAAAGCGGTAATTATGGCCGCCAACGGACTCTCTCGGCAGCACGAACACAACCACCTTTCTCGAATGACATAACAGATATGAAGTGAAGCTTTTCAGTTATGAAGGAAGTCTGAAAACATTAAGACTCTCGAAATATCTTTGAAACATGTTTACAAATGTGAAAACTATACACAATTAACAACGCTGAGCGGTAAAAATGATCCCTCCGGGCGCTCTGTTGTTAAGTACCACTCACGAACTTTCGATTTTACTTTATAATGAATATTACGATTGGCTAATAGAACCCAGTTTCTCTGCTCGTCGGATCCTGTCCTCTCTCTCTCCTGTAGAGGCAATGGACCTCGAGTTCTGATTAATAACCAACCGTAATTCAGGCGAGGCTCGACCACTTCAGCTGGCGACGGATTGAACTCTAATCAGAATGTCCATATCGGCTAACAAGCTCAAGGCCATTCTGCTGCAGCCACAAGCACAATTTGAGGCATCCCAATTCAAAGTGAGGGAAACTCGTACTCGCTAACTGTCAATCTAGACCGGTTCACAGTCTACAAATATCAAGCCTTCCGCATCGGTAGACTCCACCACAAACAGCGTTACCGAATTTTGCTACGGCCCTAATGCTGGCCTCACCTATGGATCCTTGTTCAAGCGTTACAAAGATGTGTTTGGCTTTTAACCTGCAGACCAACATGACGATTGGAAAGTCCGATTATTGTCAAGGAACAGCAGGGCACGCCAGGTATGTCAATTTTATTTTCCCCAAGAACGCTCGAGACCGTACTTGTGATGTGACTGTCAAGTGCTTGGGCCAAATATTTGGAAAGCAGTCATCCATTTTCAACCAACGCTATCAATGCCTACAGACCACTAAGATGGACGCTGACGACCACCTCACTTACGCTGGCATCGTCAATCGCGAGTGCGAAACATTTGACACCAAACGCATCACAGCAGATCAATACAAATTCCTGGGCTTATCTGTGGCTTTCAATCCCCACGGGATGCAGAGATTCCCACCAGGCTACTGAGTAAACTTGCATAAGACCCGCAAATGACTTCCTAGACCACTACCGCTGAATGCCAAAGTTTACTAAACCTAGAACATGACACGCTTGTGCTAGAGAGGCAAAAGCCAACCCTAAGTTTCAGGGTATTGAAAACCACTTCAAAGAAACGGCTGCCAAGTAAAACCGGTCATGAAAAGCCTAGAGAGAATCCCAAGCCCCCGACTGCCTTTTGAAGGCTACGTCGGTGGCATTTTTTTGAGTATGTCCATTCCTGAAGCATGTTCGCTACAGGTGTCATAAATGGCGCCATAAGAAAACGCACTGCCGATACAGACTGATGTCCAATGATGCTAAACATCTTCGACCGATTTTGAACTTTCCCAAAAGATTCAGAAGCTATAGTAAGGTAAAAGCGGCCTACTCTGAAGAACTTGTGGTTCACAGAAAGTACATCAAAGGTCACCTGATCTGGCAAAAGTACGTCTTCAGCTAGGTACGGCGTTGGACATCACGCTTCTCCCCAGCAAAAGTTGGCAGTATGTTGGTGCTCTGTCAATTAACCCAAAGACACATGCTGCCTTTAATGCTTCAGTAGATCAACTTAATCTCACGAGTGAGCTGCAGTGGGAAAAGCTTTTGGCGGTGCTCGGTCTAACCGCATCGTGTACATTACGGAGCTGTCACATTTGAATCTGTTTGAATTGGATTGGATCCAGAAGCCCCAGCTTTTCGAGATTTCCCTGAATCAACTCTGTAGTGACCTGCAACTTGGACATGCTAGGTCTCTTCGGAAGTGGATGAATCAAACGATAAGCTGCTCGAGTAGCTACGAAGAAAATTCCCGTCTGTGTTTCGTAACGACTTGGGAAGATGTGCAAGGACCAAAGCAAGCCTTACTATCAAGGACGGTGCCAAGCCGGTATTCCAACCCAAAAGACCGGCACCATATGCTGCGTTTCCGATTGTTGAAGCGGAACTTGATCGGTTGGAGCGATTCGACGTCATCAAAGCTGTGAACTATTCTGCATGGACAGCCATTATTGTTGTCGTCAAGAAGACTGATGGAATCTTTCGTATCTGTACTGACTACTCTACGGGATTGAATACCGCCTTACACTTGTACTAGTATCCTTTGTCAGTCCTGGAAGATTTATTTGCTAAGCTCAGTGGAGGCGTTTACTTTACAAAGCTAGATTTATCAGAGGCTTATTGTCAAATTGAAGCCGGCGATTCTTCAAAGCAGTTGCTGGTAATCAATCCGCACAGAGGTCTTTGTCAGTTCGATCGCTTAGCGTTTGGTATCGAATCAGATCCCGCGATTTTTCAACAAATTAGGGATAAGATGTTAGATGTGCTATCAGGAGTCGCAGCTTATTTGGGTGACATTACAATCAACGTGTCTACCTATCAAGAGCCGACGGAAAGACTGGAAGCCGTTCTAAACCGCGTTCATTACTTGAAAACATGAAATGGCAATACTGGTATGTGTTATGTAAAGTAACATGGCTCCATCATCGACAACGATGGCCATTTTCCGGGTCCAGCCAGCATCAATATCATCAAACAGATGCCTCCCACTGACAATGTCGCGAAGCTCAGATCATTCTTGGAGTTGATCAGTCATTACAGCGCATTTGTGCACGAAATGCTTCGGCTAGAATGACGTCTAAATGAACTTCTGGTAAAGGATAGCTAATTTGTATGATCTCCTGAATGTCAAGCCGCATTTGATGACCTTAAGTCTATGTTGTGTTCTGACCTATTGCTAAAACATTTCAATCCGGAGCTGGAGATCGTGGTTACTGACGACGCGTCAGGCTACGGAATTGAGACGGTCATATCGCACATTTTCCACAATGGTTCGGAGAAAACTATGGTACGTGCAGCGTAAAGCAACTCTTGACAAATGCAGATAGAAGCTTTGGCTATAGTATTTGTAGTCAAGCAAGTTCACAACAGGCTCTATGGAGGAAAATTCAGGCTGCTCACGGACTCCAAACACTTGCTTGAAATCTTTTAAACAAAGAAAGATATTCCGGTTTGCACAGCTAGTCGTCTCCAACGCTGGACTACGGAACTACTTGGCTACGAGTCCGTCGTCCAATAGCACTCTAAACAAAACATTGGTCAGGCGGATGCGATATCTCTTTTAATTGGTACACACCACTAAGAACCAGAGGATTTGGTATAACTCAAATACCCTTTAACCCCCGGGAAAATCAAGTTGTATCTGCCCTCTTCTGTGTCTTGCCAGTAACGTTCGAAATGACGCAGGAAGCGACTCGTTATGATTCTATCTTAGAACAAGTGCTCAATTTTCACCTCAGTGGTTGGCTTAGAAGAGTTACAACATCGGATATTCAGCAATTCCACCAACGGAAGGAAACGCTAGCAGTCGTCAATGATGGTCCACTGTTCACCGATCGCATCATCATACCTGTCATCCTTCAAGGGACAATCCTCCGACAATTTCATACTGGCCACCCAGGAATGAACCGCATGAAATCTCTGGTACAAAGCTATGTGTATTATTCATATATGAATGCCAGGTTCAGGTATTTAACGAAGGATGTTCCCGGTGTGCCAGTGTCTCTAAACTGGCAAGGAAGACTGAATTGAAATATTGGCCAATACCTACAGTACCACGATCCATTTAACGGTCATGCCTTGACAGCATGGTCGGTTTGCACGCTTTTAATTGCGCGTACTTATCCTGGGATATTTGTTTAACTGACTGGTAGTATTGTGATGTATTTCTAGTCATGCATATCATAAGGTGAATATCCGCCAACCTGACCTTCTGCTTATCGCCCAGACCACACATGAGTAATGCAGCACCTTCGAGTATATGCGTTTGTTTATTGTGCTGGCACGCATCCACCATTGTGCATGTGCTTGCAGTTGGGACTGACCGTACACGTGCTGTAAAGCTACAAAGCTTTTGGAAGCTTAAGCCACGCGTATCCCATCGGAATATTAAAAAACCGAGTTCGGACCTAAGGTAACGGGGCTATTTGTATCAGCTCATTGTATCAAAAAAGACACTACCTTAACGAGTTCCAAACTCAAAAGTATGCCAACAATCTGCGCTCAGCTCCACGAGCGATCCGGGAGTTCATGCTTGCAAATGAACACAATGGAATCAAAGTGAGACAGAGGGCTTATGGTAAGAATCCATATGAGCCAATGGTAATAGGTATGTGTCCGCCAACAAACCGTGCTGCGGCAATGTCTGGCACACCTAGCTGTACAAGCTGTGAGAGTCGCACAAATCGCGCAAATCAAAGGCAACAACGCCACGTCAGTAAGGCGTACTTTGCATAGGAGTGAAAACAAGGTAGAGCGTGGAAGAACTGGAAATCGGATACTACGACAAACAATAAGAGCTTCATGGTAAGAAGCGTTTGAACAGAAAATGGACAAATGGACAGGCACACGGATGGTCCATGCCGGGAGATGAGGCTGACCAACGTATAAGTAAGCATTTGACAGGGGTGAGTCTTGGGTGTTCGCAAATTCGTCCTATACGTACTACGTCTTGACACCCCAGGCTGATTCCAGTAGGATAATTGACGTTCACTAAAGGACGTCAATTTCCCAGTGGCCTGGTTGCGCCCGATACGAGTGTTGGCAAGCTATCTGTCTACCATCTGACTCGCTAGCCTTTTCTAGAGAAAATAGTATGCGCAGCCCCGTGATAGGGCTAGGTTCGTAGTAGGGTTTCACGGCGGAGTGTGTTGCGTCACAACGACACCCAGGTGTACATTTGGCACGCCTTCTTCCTCCCAGTTATGCGTCCGTACCGTGCATGTTCACTGGCTCTGCGACTGTTCAAAAGCTGTC